CCCCCATGCGTATATTCCTCAGCGCCCCCGGCCCCACCCCCGGGCTAAGAACTGGTAGACTGCCCAGACTGCGCCAAGCAGCGACCCACGCACACCCCAGCACGCCCTCCTGCCCAGCTAAGCAGCCCCGCACCTCGAGCACGCGCCCACCTCCCCACCCCGCGCACACACAAAAAAGGTTCAAAGGTTTAAACAATTTATTGACCAACCCAAAAAAAAAAAGGCCATTGACTCTGAATCCTGCCCACGCGGTACACGCGCTGCGGGGCAGCCCTGGGCATGCCAAGACTGCGACAGCCGCGCAGCGAGGGCTGCGGCTAACGACGTTTGGTCCCGCACACAGACCCTCCCAGGCACCGCCCGCATGCCGCCCTGTGGCTCCCCGCACGGGGAGTGTTGCCCTTTTAAGAGGTACCCAGCCGCCACGGTAACGAACTGGCGCCCGAGCGTTTCCATGGCGCCAGGGCGAGAACCAATAGAGGGCGTCGTCACTGTTCGAAAAATTCTAAAGTAGGCAACAATAAAAAAAAGCCGCTACAGAGCACCGGGGCCGGGACCTCTGGGACCCACGTGGCACTGTCGCCTGGCGGGAGTGGAGCAGGGACAATGCAAGCGAAAAGGCTTTTGAAAAACAAACTCATCTGGGAATGGGGCGGGACAAATACAGGGCTGCGACTGGGGCGAACAGAAACCTTAGCGGGTGGGCTGCCCAAATAAAAAAAAAAAAACCAAGGGTGGATTGCGAGGCTGGCGCAGCCTAAACCGCGCTTCCCTGCCCGCGGCGACGGCTACAGAGCGAAGGGGCAGCAATACAAAGCGGATAACCTGGGTCTGTCCTTAGAGCAGTCTGTCTTGGGGCTCAAAGCCCTTGATGGATAGGGAGCTGGGGGGGCGAAGGGTGGGGAAATGGTCTCTCTCCTGCCCCAGCGTGGTGGGGCGATGGGGGCGCCCTGCCCCCCTCATGCCTTCCTGCTCTTGAGCGCCTTGGGCTTTGCAGACTTCTTGACCTTTTTGCCCCCAGAAGAAGCGGCTTTCTTGGTAGCCTTCTTAGCTTTGCCCTTGTCTTTCCTGGCAGCTCCACTGCTGGCTCCTTTCTTGTGCGATTTCTTCTCGGGTTTCTTGCTCTTGGAGGCCGGTTTCTTCTCCGCCCTCCGAGAGGTGGAGGCCGTAGCCTTCTTGTGGGATTTCTGGGAGCTGCTGCTAGAGCTGCTATCGCTGCCCCCTTCCAGCTTTTTCCTGTTGAGCTTGAAGGAGCCGTTGGCGCCGGTGCCCTTGACCTGGAGCAGGGTGTCGTTCTGCACCAGCGCCTTGATGGAGTATTTCAGGTAGGTCCGCCCGTTCTGCTGGTCGAACCAGGCCACCTTCTTGGCCTCATTGTAGATCTTGGCCAGAGAAGAGCCGTTGCGCTCGCCCAGTTTCCGGATCGTCTCTACCACCAGCTGACTGTATTTGCCCGGCTGGTTCTTCTTCTTGTTGTTCTTCTTCTTTTTGGAAGGAGACAAGGACGATCCTCCACCCTTCGCCTTTCTGGCGCCACCTTTCTTCTCTGGGGCCAGGGGCGCTTCCTCCGCCTCAGTCAGAGGCAGGTCGGCTTCTTCCAGCTCCACCGACATGCTGCTCTGGACTGCGCAGACTGCAAAGAAAGAGATCGATACCGCAATAAATCGGTGCACGGACTCACGCCCGCCGGTTGGAGGTGTCCCGGACTGACTGGCGGCCGGCGGCGTCAATCAGGAAAGCGGCACCAGGCGCTGCTCGCTCCGTTCCTGCTCAGAGATGCAATCCGCCTGCCTGCCTGGGCGGGCTGCGAGGCAGCCCTTTATATGCACAATGAGCGGACCACGTTGAGAACAACAACAGCCTGGGCCAGGGCCAGCTCCAACTTGTGCTTCTTGAAGCCCCTTTGAGGGGCTCTAGCTCCCAGGCCCGACCCCTCAAAGTCGAGGCGGCCCCACAGAACCCTGCTCCGGACGGTGCCTTACCTAGCTGCCCTGCAGCCGGGGCTCTCTGGGCCCGAGAAAGGTCCCCGAGAGGCGATTTAAAGGGCGCACCCTATGCTGGGGAGAGACAGAGGAGGGGGGCGCCCCGAATAGGGGTGTCTAGGCCTCCCAGGGGGACTTACTCGGCAGCACCACCTCATAGGCCGGGTAGCAAAGAGGGGGGTCTTGGGCTGGGGCCCCTCTGCGGGAGGCGGGGTTCCCCGGCGGCTGTGCTGGCCTGGGGATAATTTGTTGTAACTAACACACTGGACGCCCTCACGTGGTCGGCAGCAGCAGCACTGAGCAGACGAGATGCTTCCAGGGGGGTCCCCGCCCGATATGGAGGGGCCGAGGTTCTGAGAAGCGGGGGTGTTCGCGACCTGGACTCCCCTTCTACGGGACCCCCACCCAACGGTTGAGCGGCGGCACCTACTTTGTGCCTGGGGTGGTTCGATTTCGCATCCCCCCACTCGCAGGCGCCGCTTGTGCCTGTATAAAATACAAGGGGTCGGCGAAGCAGGAGCCCCCAATTACCGCTATAGGGTGGGGCGGGGGAGCAGGCTACGGACCGGCAGACCCAGATAATCTCATGACAAGGGGCCGTATCTTTGGGCGCTTGCGGATCGAGGGGGAGCTGTCTGGCGTGTCGCCTTGTCCCCGTCCTGCCCCGCACACCCACAGCATGCCCCTCGCACGGGTGTCTGTGCACTGCTGCGCCATGCCTGCCCCCTCCCCGGTACGGAGCGTGTCCGCAGGCTCCCCTAGGGCGGGATACTGCAGGAAAGCTCGCGCCCCACTTGTCGGGGGGGGGGGCGGCGGCTGGATTGCCCCCATCATTTTCCATTCTAGAATTGAATCACCATTCAGCCCCCGCCTCCCCCTACCAACAATCTTCTAAGAAGCAAACACTTGCGGGGGAGGTGTGAGCCCCTTTGTGTCAGGCGTGGGGCGGGGATGGCGGGCGGGCGGGCACTGCCCACATCTCCCCGCCAGACCGCTGCGTCTGGGTTACCCAGGGAGGGGACCCGATTCTGGGGAGCGGGGCACTGACCCACCCTGTGTGTCCAGCAGGAGCCACCCTTCCCCGGAGGGGGGGGCGGGCCCTGGACCCATCTCCGCTGGGGGGGGGACCCCGAAGGAGGGTCGGGGTGATATAGAGACTTGAGCCATGTACGGGCAGAACCTCACTGGCACTGTCCGCCGTCTGCCCCCAGTCAGGGGCGTGTGTGCAGCGGGGCGGCGGCTCATGGCGGGCTGCCTCCCCCACCCCCACGCTTGGGGGTGAACCAGCTGGGCAGGGAACGCTGCGCTGACCTGCGGCCCGGAGGGGCGGGGCGGGGCCCCCCACGCCACGGGAAGGGCGCAGTGGAGGGTCCGCGCTCAGGGCGCTGATTGCCCGGACCGCTCGCTCCGCCGCCCCTACAGGTGGGCGGCGGGGGCGCGATTGGGCTACAACGGCAGCGGCGCAGAGCGTGTGCGGGGAAAGCGGCGACTCCCGGTCCTCGCTGCAGCTGCCAATTCGGGGAGACCTGCGGGAACCTGCCCGCTCCGCTTCATGTCCAGCCCCTCGGGGCCAAGGAGCCCTGCTCCCCCCCCCCTCCTCGGCTGCAATCTGGGGCCCTGTGGGAGCGAGGAGCAGGCTCCCCCGCCCGCCCTAAATCCCCACACTCACGCCGGAGGCGGGGCAAACTCTGAGAAGCCTTGCAGGCTCCCCCGCCCCCCATCGCCGTCTGCCCCATCTACCCCCTCTACTCCGTCCCTTTCCAGAGCACCCACCCAAACCACCTCATTCCGCCGCCCCCCCTCTCTTTACCCGCCACCCCCTTTCCATCTGCGCTACCACCTCTCCCCCCTTTCCCCTTCCTCCCACTCCGTGATGCTTCCCCTCCACTACTCCCCATAATGCCTCACTGCCCCACCCATTGCCCTCTCACCATCGTCTTTTCCACCCCGTTTGCCCTCTCCACGCCCACCATCTCCCTTTCAGCTGTCTGCCCCACCAGGTCCCCATCTCATCTCCCCGTCACCTCTCCCACTCCCTTCTACCCCCTCCCCAACGGCCCTGCGCGCCCATCTGCCCCACCACTGATCTCGGCTCTCTTCTGTCTCCTCACTGCCTCCCCTTTGCTCTGCTCTCCTTTGCCCATAGAAACACCCCCTTTCATCCAACCCTTCTTTCCTCTGGCTCCTATTGCACTTTCTCTCCTTCTCTTTCCATAGTAAAGTCTAATTCTCTGATGGACTCAGCTGTCTCAGGGGGTTGAGCTCTTGCCTTTGTTCTCTCTATGACTGAATTTAGCACATGGATGCTCAGATGATGCCCTATTAGACATAAAATGGCACTGTCCCAAAAGTGAAACAGGAAGAGCAGCCAGGACAAACACCAGCCCCTGCTGACCTCCATACCTCCTCCCCTTACTTGTCTCCAGCTACAGCTACGTTTTGTTGAGCCCTGCATCCCACAACATCTTAGGACGCAATGGATCTGTGTTTGGGGCCAGTCAGTGAGTTTGTTTCAGAGCTAAGAGCCCTCCCCTCTCCCCCAGGGGGCAGGGTCCTTTTATGCCTCATCTCAGACATGGCTGAAGAAATAAGGGGCAAATGTAAACTAGTGGAAAATGTCCCTGGCTTCACTAACTACATTCTCTGAGTCATTCAATCAGTGCAGGATCTTTGCCTTTACCAAACCTAATGTATTAACCCTGGTTGCATCCCTGGGAACTGGTGAGCATCAGGAAAGCTCTTGTACAGCCAGTTCCATCCCATAAGTTTATCTAGCTCTGCGGTTCCCAAACTTTTCCAGCTGGGGACCCATTTTGACAATTCAGGAAGACTTGGTGACCCAGGGCAATTAAAAAAAATGTGTGAATAGCTCCTGGGGAGACACCCTTTTGAAATGTAATGACAACCCATATTTGGGTCCTGACCCATGGGCTGGGAAACCCTGATCTAGCTGAGTCAGAGCCTACTGAAAATTACAGGGTCACCACACACAGGCCAACATTTCAAAGCAGCCATTAATTTTGGAGTGCTTTGACGTCTAGGCACTCTACTTGCACCTAAGAGCACATAGACTCCAATTGGAGCCGTGGATGCTCATCCTCTATGAACAGAAACCTCCGTGCCTCTAAACCTCTGTGCCTCAATTTCTGTTTGTACAGTAGGGATTAAAAATAGTTTATTGATGGCTAAAGTCCTACATACAAGGGAGGAAGCATGGATAGCATATGGAGCTGGGATTCAGACCATCTCCATGATTGGTTTGTTGGGTGACCTTGGTCAGGTAACTTACTGCCTCTTGCCTTAGCATCCCTACATGGGGTAAAATGTAAACCACTTGAAAATCTACTCATGAAAACTGCTATGTAGACACTAAATATTAGTATTGCATGCTTGTGACATACTTTGACCAGACCAATAGCGAAAATAATATTAATAACTGTGCTCCAATTACCAATATGTCAGCAAATCCATAGTAAAAACTCACATGTTCATCTGGGACCTTGACAGCCTATGTTGCATTAGGCTCACAGAGCAAATCTCAATCCTCATAGCAAATGTGGGAGAAATGATCTTTTCAGTCACCTATGACCCAACCTTTCACTCCTGATAATCCAGAGGGAGGTCACATCCCAGACATTTGACATGACTATTTTCAATTTCGCCCTCTGTGCTACTGCATGCACTCAGCTTTTGTAGTCACTGTCTCCAAGCCTGCGTCCACTGAAGTACCTGGGCACTGTAGCGTGTAGGATTGGGTGCATTATTTGTGAGCGTGACACGGTTCTACTGAGAACAGCACTGTTAAGCTTTGCATATATGAAGAGTGCTTCTTTCTGAGGCTAGGCACATAAGCTGTGAGGTACCAAGACACTGCAATGTCCCTTCCCATATTTTAGTGCTACCTCTGGCTCAACTTCCTGAGCTATCAATCCATTTCCTTTATGTATGGTGAAACTGCATATTAGTATACGCTCCTTTGCCATAGCCCAGCAGAGATGAAGCCACTTAAAAATGGGCATGTGCCAAGACCACAATAATCAGCTGAAGGCAGCACAGCTGTTTCCTACGCACATACTAAGACCGCTCTGCTGGGCAGCATACCAAATCTCTCAACTACCTTTTGAAAAAGCTTTTCTTTCCCACTTTCTAGCTGGGAATCAATCAGTAAATCCAGAGCCCACTTCACTGTCCTCAAACAGCAGTTAAAGCAGATGCTCAGTAACAATGGAATTGACTATGGGGAAATCTTAGCAAGTCTGTTTGGATTTGCCCTTAATTATGGGGTTAGCCAAATGAAGAAACAGCCCCAGGCACCTGGCTGAACAGCATTTATCATCATGTTATCTAGCTACACCCTGTACTGGTTAAAGGACAGGGTGGCAAAAAAGGATGGTCATGGCCATAGCAGCAAGGACAGGGAAGAAAAAGGGGGCACACCAATGCTGCTGTGCTTTACATAGCAAGCATGCTGTATGGGCAATAGTTCTGACATGGGAGCCAGAACTGAAATGATTAGCAGAACCTGGCTTAGTTTATCCACGCTGAATCCACAATAATAAATAAGCCAAGACCTAAAGAGAAGAATGATGGTTTTTGCAGCTTAGGCTTTAGACTGGGCCTCAAGAGATCTTGTGGCAGGAGCCTCTGGGCCCTTTTAAATTACCTGGAGGTGGCAGGGGAGGTAGGGGGAGAACCTGGCCCTGAACTTTGCTGGAGCAGCTCCCCCAACCAGGCATATTCCTGGAGCCCATAACTTGCTGCCTCTGGCTATTTTTCAGGTGAGTACCCCATCCCCTGGGCAATGGAATAGGCTGGTACGTGTCTGTCAGTA